AGAGGTGAGTGAAGTGGGAGTCGGGCGACCCGACGAGCTGGTGCCGAATGCGCGGGGTTGACGCGGGCCACGACAGACTGTGGGCGCGGAGCGAACCTGACGGGCGCAGGAGGACTAAGCGGGGTGACGGCTTCATGTGTTGGTGCGCGACGACGGACTGTCGGCATCGGAGAGAGAGAGAGGAGAGAGAGTTGAGGTTGAAGATGGCCATGGATTTGCACTTTTCTTTTCGGTCCTTTCTTTATCTATGTATATAAATTTTGGTGTCGATTACGGGCAACTCGCCCTTGTCTTTGCGGCCATATACTCGTCCTATTGTTCGATTTGATTCTTTTTTTTTTTTTTTTCTGTATCGATGCTTTCTCCTTTTTCGTTCCTTCTCCGGAATCCTCTTTTGCAAATGATGTATGGATGGTTCGCGCACCTTCGCATTTCCGTTTTTGATCGTTTCCTTTCGAACCCTCGTGCATAATGACTGAGAATGGGGATTGCATGCTGGCGTGATCAGTAGAGTGTGTTGGCTTGTCGAATCTTACGGGTAGTCTGGAGCGCACCACCCGACGTGCCACATGGGCACCTGCAAGTGCGATCCGAATGGAGCGCGGCTTACATGTGTCCATACCACTCGGACCCGCCAATCGCGTCCTGGCTAACGCCCGTAGTCAGCCCATCACTGAAGTAGGAGTCGACGTCAACCGGGATCGGGTTACCCATCACGCGTAAGTGCGACTTGTTCGCATCGCTCTTACGCACTTACGAGCGGTGATCTCCCCGATTAACTTATCCCCCAAGGCGTGAGTGATGAAAGAATGACGAGCTCGCGGAGTTCCGACGTATCTTGGAATTCCGAGGATTATGAGTCGTATTTCGGGTATCGGGAAATCTGGGAAGAAGAGCAACTCCGATTACGGGGAAATTTGAGAAACCCGGTGTTCCCCTGCCTCACGGAAAACGATAGATTTTGCGCTAGGGAATTCCATCTTGCCGTGCGAAGCGACCCACGGATACCCGACTACCCAAACACGTACAACACGCAGTATTTCATAACCCCCGGCTTCGTCCTTATCACCACTAATTTNAACACGCAGTATTTCATAACCCCCGGCTTCGTCCTTATCACCACTAATTTCCCGCCATACCACCTCCTCCTCCCCTATCATCAGCTTACAGTAGTACCGTGAAATTTCATAGCGCCTTATTGGCCCTCCACCCCGCGCAGAAGCTGCAGCCGACGTGCCCATACCCGAACCCCCAGAGCCTCGACATCTAGGCATAGTTCCCACCAACCCACGCCACGTGGCGGACCCCGAAGGCGTGGGCCCCAAGGACCGCCTCGGTAGGCTCCGCAGAACTGGCGATCATGTCAGGATCGGACGGCCCCGCACAACCAGCGTGCAAGCCCGCGCCAGTAAATTTTCCCAGTGCTCTATTGCATCTCTGCCCCTGAACTCTGCCACAGAAGATCCCAGTTCCGACCTGGGACTTCAACCCCCACTTTCCCAAAAATCCTTGGCACACCCCTGTTCGCACTTCCAGGCCCCCATCCCACTCCGATCAAGAAGTCGCGTCGGGCGTAAGGTTGGTATCGGAGCCCGACACGTGGCTAAGCGATAGGGTCTGTAGACTCAATATTGGCTAAGGCGAGGCGGTCTGGCTCCACGTAGGCGCCCTTCAGCTGGGGATACACGCCGACGTAGTCCGGTAGCTACACGAAGCCGAACGTCTGCCACAAGGCGAGCAGGCGCCATGGCTGCGGCCGCTGCTGCAGCAGCCGCTGCGGTGGTCAACCCCAACCAACAGCCTAACCCGCGTGCGCCGCCTGCACGAGCCCCTGCGGCTCCACCAGATCTTTATTTATTTCATCCAGCCCACCATCTCGCTGGAGCATGGTTAGCCACGCTCCGAGCTCAGCGGTATATGAACGATGAAGCTCAGATCAACATCCCCGCGCGGATGGGTGGGGACGCCCATCATTGGTATAGCACTTATGTATGGGTGGATCTTCCCACATTCGAGCGGGATTTCATGAACCACTTCGATTATGTTCACCCCGAACAAGCACTCTATATGATCAAGGATCGAGTCCAGAAACCACTCGAATCCATTACCGAGTATCGGAACAGATTTCATCGAATGTTTGTAAAGACTGAGCGAGGCGAGCAGGTAGGCTGGGCCCTGTTCATTGATGGACTATGTAACAGAATGCTTCGGGGGAAGCTACGTAAAAACTTTTCTTCCATTAACCACACGCTGCAACAAATTATGGACGTTGCCGAAGAAATGGAGCGGAAGTTCGCAGCTAGCTTCTTAGAAAATGAGGATTATGGTAGAGAAGGAGACTCGTCAGAACTTGTGAAAGCAAGGGCGAAACTGGCCGCACTGCAAAACAAATTCGAAAACATGGGATTCGTAGCCGGACCCGTTACGTATGTAGAACAGGTGACATCGAGGACCGCACCATGTGGAGCGACTGTAAACAAGCAGATCCCGGTAATGGCGTCCCCAACTGTAACTCAGCCACCTCCACCGCCACCCACCATCGAGTCACCCGCAAGGGCGAATGAGTCTGCTGCTATCTTGGAGCTAACTAAAACATTGGTTAGTCTAATCCAAGAAAGCAAGAAGGAACAACGAGAGCACAACACCCGATTAGAAGCTATGATGCGGAATATGCGACCCATTGTGAATGCAGGGAGGCATGGCGGCTGCACAAGTTGCAGCGGGGCCAGCCGGGACAACGGCAAATGCCTGTTTTACATGTCATCAACCGGGACACTTGGCCCGAGATTGCCCCCATCGGGCCATGCAGCCTCGAGCCGGGGTCGTGCCTGCAGCTGCAACTCCCATAGCTAACGGCCCGGGACGTGTAGGAGCCGTGATGGATGATCAGGGGGGGAGTAATGGAATGATGATTTCCAGTGAGGAAGCAGCCGAGCTTATCCCGCTGGAGCAGTATGTATCACTAGGATACCCGGGGCTGGGAATGATTGGGACAATCTGACCGGATCTCGAATCCAGAGATGTCGCCGAATGGCGACCTTCGTTGAGCAAAATGGAGACGGGAGGCCCTACCTTTGTTACAGGGGAAATCGATGTCCTTGATGTCACCCGAGCACTGGATCATCGAATCCCTCTCCCAATCGGCCACCTACTCTCCATTTCGGAACAGGCGAACAAACGTATGATGCAGCATTGCAAAGCGAACCGGAAGCGATTTGCCCTTGCACGCGCTCAGAAGGCGAAGGCGCCGACTTCAAAGGAAAAGGCGGACTTCGCCCCTGACCCCATCCGAGTCGGATTGATACAGAAAGATGACCACTTTCTTCGGATTAAGCCGATTCCGTGGAAGTCAACCGAATGTGATATTGAAGTCTGGGGAGTGCCGTATAGTGCGGTCATAGATTCGGGAGCGGCTGTCCTAGCGATATCACTCCGAGTAGTCGAGAGAGGGGGTAGGAAGAATGATTTGATTATGCTAACGGAGAAGGACCAGCTCGTATCGGATGACGAGGAGATGATCAAGACAGTAGGGGGACTGACGAATGTCGCGTCCCGATTGGGAAAAGTGCATGCTTTAGGAGATGTTGTGGTGCTGGATGTGAATACGTATGACGTTCTTTTCGGGCTTCTTGCATTGGTGGCGCTGCGTGCTAATTTAGACTTCGAACGCTGATCCGTCATTCTCCGGAATACCGGGGGAAAGCCGTATGTAATACCCATGAGACTAACTCTTCGAACGTCGGTTAAGGTAGTACCCCGAATTTCTCCGAAAACAATGGGAGCGCTCCGCATGGTCCCCTGGAGTGCACCTGTGGACGGAGGCCAATCATCGAATGACGCGGGGAGCGACGACGATGACGATCCAGTCGTTACACGGTTAGTACGACAGCGGATTCACTACCCGCCGCCTCGCACTATTGCGCGTACCATGCATCTAACCACACAGAATGCCCATATGATGATCATGGGAGAACCCCTCGTACAGATTTCGAGGCTGGTTGATTCCTTGGAACCCCCTCGGACCCTGTACGAAGGTGTATCTCCCCTTCTCCTTCGGTATAGTGACAAAAGTTCCTTTTGTGATCTCACTGGCTTACCTCGATCCCTGCTTCAGCCCACAAAAGAGGTTCAGTTGTTGCGTCTGGGAGCCGAAGCAGGTTCTTTGGAACCCCCTCAGCGCATCGAGGCAAAATCCGATGAACTCGGGATCCAAATCTCGCCCAAAAGCATGCACTGGCGAGACATCTGCGACGGGATAACCCCCGAAGGCCATACAACGATCAGGGAGGAGGAAGCACAGATGGTGGCCACTGTGTTTTCTTGGAGATCGGATCACTCTTTTATATCTGCACCGCCTGACACTACTCGGCGTATACACACGAAGCAGGTTAACGTTCGGATTTTGGATCAAATGTATGAATTGCATGTGCCCCAGTATGTACCTGATGAGATCCATCGACTGATCGCTGATATTTTAATAGAGTATCAAGGGGCGATTAGCGTGTCCGATGCCGATATTGGGTAATCTGTGGTCGTTCAGCATGAGACTCGTTGACAGAGCGCAAGACGGCCTTGCAACGAATCAGGGAATTTGAGGCAAATGAATGGATTGAGCCTGCCACCGGTCCCTGGTCGTTCCCAGTTGTATTGGTTCCTAAAAAGAACGGGTCGGTCCTCATATGCATCGATTATCGAAAGCAAAATGATATCACGATTAAAGATGTGTATCCCCTTCCCCGGATTAATGATCTGCTTGATGCGATCGGGTGTGCTAACTAGTTCAGCAAGTTCGACATTCGGCATGGGTTTCATCATATCTTGGTGAAGGAAGAAGATCGGCCCAAGACCGCTTTCGTTTTGTTTGAAGGCACGTGGCAGTGGGTTCGGTGCCCGATGGGAATCTGCAATGCGCCTGCCACGTTTCAAAGGGCGATGAACGTGACTTTTCATAATTTCGTCAATAAGACAGCTGACTCAGGGGATGATTAACTTCTACATCATTGTGTACATGGATGACATTCTGGTGTACTCGGACACGTTTCACGGACACGCGCAGCACATCGAATGGTCGTTGGGTGCGTTGAGAGACGCAGGTTTCAAGATTGCGCTGGAAAAGAGCGAGTTTTTCCTCCCGGAAATCTCATTCTTGGGGTATGTCGTAACACGAGGAGGCCTGCGGCCGGACTCTCGAAAAGTCGCGGCGGTCAAAGAGGCCCCGGTTCCGACCTCACTGACGCAGGTTCGAGCCTTCTTGGGCCTGGCCTCGTATTACCGACGGTTCATCAAGGGGTTCGCGGTTATAGCAAGGCCTCTAACAAACCTGCTGCGAAAAGAACAGCCCCTTCATTGGGATGACGAGTGCGACCAGGCCTTCGAGGCCCTGAAGGATGCTCTCGTCACGACCGCGATTCTGATTCGACCGGACCCCTCTCGGCAGTTTATTCTCATCACCGACTGGCAGCCGGAGGCTATCTCGACCATTCTGGCACAGAAGGGAAACGATGGGAAGGAGCATGTCATCGAGTACGCTTCCCGGACGGTGCCAGACGAGCGACGAAATGATTCCGCGCCACAAGGACAATGCTATGCGGTAGTGTGGGGTATCCAGCACTTCCATCCGTATTTGTACGGTCAAAAGTTTCTGCTCGTCACTGACCATGAACCTCTGTTGGCTCTGAAAAAGCTAACCAACTACATGGGCATGATCGGATGATGGGCAGTGCGGTTGCAAGAGTATGAGTTTGACATTGTTCATCGAAGAACGGAGAGACACAGCAACGCCGACGGACTGACACGTTTGCACCGACCCGGTAAAGTACCAAAGGCGGAAGAAATCACACCGTGGAAGGACCCGGACATCAATAACGGTCCAAAGTACGGAGAAGTTGTGGTTATTCCACGTGGCAAGAAGCCGGTGAAGGGCAATGGGTGACGGAGGTAATGTCCAGAATCCCTCTCTTTCTTCCCCATCCTCTTCTTTCGACCCCTTCCTGACAAATTTTGCTATTTCTGCGAGGCAATCTCTCGAGTCTATTCCGTCCACATGTGTCCTATAGGGAGGGGATATGTTGAATGGGTAGACAGTCGGAAATGTGTCGCACGTGCTCATGGTGCGTGCATAGAGTATCGGAGTAGTGATAAACCCTGGTTCTGTCCCTTATGTCGCACTGACAAGATTCCGACAGAAGCCCGATTCCTCGATGCCACGTCGGAAGGCCCTGACAAAATTCAGAAATTTAGAAGAACGGAAGTCTGGACAGATGTCGCCTTGATAGCCACTGTGGTAGGGAACTCCCTCGAAACCTTCTCCAAGGAGGATCGGAGGAGGGCCAATGAAAGAGCACGGGATTACCGATGGGTGGGCGGACGGTTAGAAAAGCGTAAAACAGACGGCAGTGGGGCATGGTTAGTAGTTCCGCACCCGTTTATGTGGTACGACTGGGTATGGACAACCCACGAGGAGACGGCGGTGCATTTTGTCGTGCGTATTACTGAAGCTGCGATTGACAGAAATCAATGGTACTGGTCCAATATCCGGGACGACGTTAAATTCATCGTCCAACACTGCCAGGTCTGCGCTGCTGACAAGGCGCCAACCCAACTGCCTAGGTCGATAGTCCCATCGGTGGTTGAACAGCCATTTCAGAGGGTTAGTATGGATACTACTGATATAGTGGTGCCCCCCGGACCGAATAGTTGCGACTGTTCAATTCTGCTGGTTTTCGTCGACCACTTTTCTAAATGGATCGAGGCCTACCCCTGTAAGACACGACAAGCCGCAAAAATCGCGCGGTACGTCAACCGTTTTCTAGGCATGCACCAGGACACCGAAGAGATCCTCACCGACAATGGGGTTGAATTTAGAGGAGAAGTCGAGAGGACCCTGGTCATACACGGCGTCTCCATACGGCACACGGCCCCACACATGTCCTTGTCTAACGGATTAGTGGAAAACGCGAGTAGGGTGATAAAAACAGCCTTGCGACGGAATATTGCGGCACGTGACCCCCGACCCTGGCTTGATATTGTCGACCACATCTTGACGATCCATCGCAGAATGCCCCACGAATCGACGGGCCTAAGCCCCTTCCAGTTGCGGACCAATAGTGTCGCGTGTGTGTCGATACCGAGCCTCCCCGACGAATCAGGTCTCAACCGACGCCCCACAAGGGCCACCGCTCGGGACAAAGCCAAAAGGCACCTGGAACTTATGGAGCGGTTCCTACCTAGACTGGCCCGGAAGCGACAACGGTCCACCGAATTGGCCCATGGCCGACAGGTCCGGAGTTACGAGGCCCGGAATGGGAATGCGGGTCCTAGGACCTAGTATAAGTTAACGGACATCGTGCAGGTAAGGAAATGTGCGCGCCAGGGTAAACTAGCGCCACGATTCTTCGGCCAGTATCGAGTGATTGAACTCTGACCCAACGGCATGGACACCGTGCGCCTCGCTCCCGAGGTTTGCGGCAGTCGATCGGCTCGCCCGATCACACGCCACGTGTCCTATCTCCGTCTTCTTCCCTCTGTTCCGTCTCCTTCTCCATCAATCTCTCCCGATGACGACTCTATCTCCTCTGCATCTCCTTCTCCTTCTCAATCTCTGTCGGATACGCCGTCACCATCGCCGTCGCCATGAGCTTTATGGAGGAGAGAGCTCTAAGTGAAGAAGCGCTGGTAGCACGTGGGAATTTGACACTGCGGCAGGTACATCATCCTCGTCTTAGTCCGGACCTTCAGTGGCTTGCGCAATTCTTCTGCTCCAGGGGCGTCTACGCGGCAGCAGAGATCCACGTCGGTGGGAGGGCTGACGCGATCATATTGGCCGAAGCTGTCGGGTTGCGGCAGCGAGCATCTGTGCGCGTCGGCCGGATAACGGTGGTAGTTAATTTCAGTGGAGATCTCACGGCGATCCCCCCTGCCGACACTCGAGAATCAAGGTGGCGTTGCTGCTGTCGGTGCACAATCTTCAGAACGAGTGGACCCAGCTCCTGGCGCACCAAGGGGACGTGATCACAGCAATCCGAGCGATCGAATACAACGGCCTTCGGCTGGATCGGCGTGACCCGCCGACGCAATTACCCCCTCTCATCCCCTTCCATCCCCGATGAGCTCCTTCCCAATCTCTACTTTCGAGCTTCCTTCTTCGTTCCCCACCTTTTGGCAATCTGATCTTCATCCCCGCCTCTCCTTCTGCATAAATCCTCTGGTTGTTCCCCTCCTCGATCCCTCTCAATGGGACGCGTGGCGCAGACACTTCATCGAACTCTCACTGTGTTTGGTGGAAGTACGGGTGGCGTGGACGAGGGATGAGAGAAATTACCCGCGGTCTGAGCGATTGGAGCTCCTTTTGATTCAGGCATGTTGGACGAAAGTAGAGGGGGACCTTCTCGGTTTTCTATTCGGGTCAGTGCGTCCAGGCTGTCGGAGGCTCCTCACCCAGGAGCTTACGGTCCCGATTGCGCAGCTGGCCGACGATCTTGACGTCAGCATTGTCTCCCAGGTCGACCCGCGCTTGGTGCCCCACGTCACCTCGCGCACGCTGTCGCCGTATCTTCAGTGGTCAGCTTGCGTGGAGGGTTTCCCATCGAGAATTCCGCCTTCACGGTTGGATTATTTGGATCCACTCGACATCGTGGATCCCGCGTTCTACATACCGCCGTACGAGGACGAATTGGAGTCCCGGAAGAAAGTTCGGAGGAAGAGAAGAAGAATCCGAACGAAAACGGAGGGGAGCCAACACAGCAACAAGAAGGAGAAGAAGACGAGCTCCTGCAAACGGAGAACGAAGAGGAAGCAGAAGAAGAAGACAGCGAGCAAGGGAGCGGTGACGACATCGGCACGCCGACGAGGATCCCCAACTAGAAATTGCGCCGGTTGTTGATCTTCCGATCAGCAACGATCCAACGCTCGACCCGGAGCCACCTCAGCCAGGCGACGGCGATGTGGCCTAGATGGCTGGGCCGTCCGTTCGTCGGCTTCCTTCCCCACCGCGACACCGACGACGAAGCAGCTCCCCCTCCGCCTCCCTCTCCCTCGCGGCCCGTCCCGCACTTCGAGCACGTCGAGATGAGGCCGATCGGTCTTCGTCCTCGGGCTCTGTCTCTCCGACCCCATGACTTCCTCACCCTGCGCCAGCTCACCCGTTCCGCCGTCTTCCCCCTCAATCCCTTCCCCCATGACACTTTCCGTCATTACTTCTCCATCCGTCTCTCTGTCACAGTCTATCCCCACTCATCCTCCCGGCATGCTTCCCCTGAGTTCCCTCTCCATGTACTTCTTTTTAGCGTAGGATGGCGTCGTATCAATGCCGTAGAGGTTTATTGCCTCATCACGGGGTTAATCCCCGCATGTGGCCACCGCGATCGCTTTCGCGCGGCGTTTCTTAGAACCTTCACCACTCTCTATCCTGACTACCTCGCTACTCTCCCCACTATTGGCCGCCGATTTCCCCGCTTCCATAGAATCGTCCATCATCGGAGCCTTCCGGAAACGGACGATGAGCTGGAACGTTTCTTCCCGCCTATCCCAACTCATCCCCCATCAACACCTCTGCCTGCCTATCGTCTTCCTTTTCCTCTTCCCCACGAGTGACGACGACCAGGATATGACTGTCGCACAGCATGACTTCCACACTCGTTCGCACGGTATGCGGCAGAAGAAAAGATCAACCATCCACGGCCAATCAATCGAAGATGATCGACACGTCAGCTAGCAAGCAGGAGCTTGCTTATCTTTGGAATGCACGAGGAAAAGGGGGTGAAACTTGGTCGGATGGATGCGGAGTGCGCGCCCAGTGCGCGATTAATAAACGTTGACATCGCTTTTTTTCTTTCGTTTCCCTTCTTTTAATTTTGTTTTGTCGAACTTTTGGGCGCGCAGACATCGCGCGGGAATTTTGGTGTCTCTTTTTGAATTTCCTTCTTGAATTTTCGTTTCGAATCTTGGTCGGAGCCATACGGCCTTCGGAATTTTGATTTTCTTTTTCGGACCTTTTCATCGGCAGGTTAGCTAGGAATTTAAGAATTTTTGAATTTCTGTTTTTCAGGGGCGCTGCTTTGCGTGTTCGCGTGCTCTTTCTTGCTGCTGCGCCAGGACCTTGATTGATTGGCGCCTTAATCCTTTTGCAACAGTAATTTTGGGCGCACACTTTTGTAACTGTATCTTTCTGTTTCTTGCTTCTTATTCTTCCCGCCTCGTTTCTTCCTCTCTCCCCTCCCTCGCTGGGTAGCTGCGTTTGCATGTTCGAATCGATGCGTGGAGTTGGGTACGTCCCCCACGCCGCGGCCCGACCGTGCAAACGTAAGCACTCCCTTTCTCCCATCTATCTACGTCCTTGTAATTCCATGTTCTTCACGCATGCATGCACGCTATAAATTCTGGCTGCGCGATTAACCTTCTCTCTTAACAGCTGCTGGAAGCTCGGAGTTGCGCAATCGAGAGGGTCGGCGCATGAGCGAAGTAAGAGGTGAGTGAAGGGGGAGTCAGGCGACCCGACGAGCTGGTGCCGAATGCGCTGGGTTGACGCGGGCCACGACAGACTGTGGGCGCGGAGCGAACCTGACGGGCGCAAGAGGACTAAGCGGGGTGACGGCTTCATGTGTTGGTGCGCGACGACGGATTATCGGCATCGGAGAGAGAGAGAGAGGAGAGAGAGTTGAGGTTGAAGATGGCCATGGATTTGCGCTTTTGTTTTTGGTCCTTTTTTTATCTGTGTACAAAAATTTTGGTGTCGATTACGGGCAACTTGCCCTTGTCTTTGCGGCCATATACTCGTCTTGTTGTTCGATTTGATTCTTTTTTTTTTTTTTTTTCTGTATCGATGCTTTCTCCTTTTTCGTTCCTTCTCCGGAATCCTCTTTTGCAAATGATGTATGGATGGTTCGCTCACCTTTGCATTTCCGTTTTTGATCGTTTCCTTTCGAACCCTCGTGCATAATGACTGAGAATGGGGATTGCATGTTGGCGTGATCAGTAGAGTGTGTTGGCTTGTCGAATCTTACGGGTAGTCTAGAGCGCACCACCCGACGTGCCATATGGGCACCTGCAAGTGCGATCTGAATGGAGCGCGGCTTACATGTGTCCATACCACTCGGACTCGCCAATCGCATCCTGGCTAACGCCCGTAGTCAGCCCATCACTGAAGTAGGAGTCGACGTCAACCGGGATCGGGTTACCCATCACGCGTAAGTGCGCGTAAGTGCGACTTGTTCGCATCTCTCTTACGCACTTACGAGCGGTGATCTCCTCGATTAACTTATCCCCCAAGGCGTGAGTGATGAAAGAATGACGAGCTCACGGAGTTCCGACGTATCTTTGAATTCCGAGGATTACGAGTCGTATTTCGGGTACCGGGAAATCTGGGAAGAAGAGCAACTCCGATTACCGGGAAATTTGAGAAACCCGGTGTTCCCCTGCCTCACGGAAAACGATAGATTTTGCGCTAGGGAATTCCATCTCGCTGTGCGAAGCGACCCACGGATACCCGACTACCCAAACACGTACAACACGCAGTATTTCATAACCCCCGGCTTCGTCCTTATCACCACTAATTTCCCNCCCCCGGCTTCGTCCTTATCACCACTAATTTCCCGCCATACCACCTCCTCCTCCCCTATCATCAGCTTACAGTAGTGCCGTGAAATTTCATAGCACCTTATTGGCCCTCCACCCCGCGCAGAGGCTGCAGCCGATGTGCCCATACCCGAACCCCCAGAGCCTCGGCATCTAGGCATAGTTCCCACCAACCCACGCCACGTGGCGGACCCCGAAGGGGTGGGCCCCAAGGACCGCCTCGGTAGGCTCCGCAGAACTGGCGATCATGTCAGGATCGGACGGCCCCGCACAACCAGCGTGCAAGCCCGCGCCCGTAAATTTTCCCAGTGCTCTATTGCATCTCTGCCCCTGAACTCGGCCACAGAAGATCCCAGTTCCGACCTGGGACTTCAACCCCCACTTCCCCAAAAATCCTTGGCACACCCCTGTTCGCACTTCCAGGCCCCCATCCCACTCCGATCAGGAGGTCGCGCCGGGCGTGAGGTTAGGGCGTCACAGCAGAGCAGCCCTTTGTTGCACCATGCTTTGCCAAAAATGCTTCTTGTGTTTGCTGCAAAAAGTACTTCCCCATTTGAATCCAAGACTCTTGGATTATGGCCCGGTCGTCGTTAGTCGCGGCTGTGTAGCTGTGGCGCGTGAGCTTCGGGTCCTATCTTTCCTACGTGACACCTACCCTGCCAGGCACCATAGCTGTGTGAGAGCTATGGCGACAGTGCCCTGGCGTAGCCTATCCCTTGAGTGGGTAGGGAGTGCCTCTGCACTCTTACGTCTTGGCATCCTGGCAACTCCTCTCTGGACCTTCATACCAACTTACACACCTATAAGACCATGATACCGGAGGAGCCACCTTCTCCTCAAGCCTTCTGTTGAAAAGGGGGGGCTCCTTTTTCATCACCTAAAGACCGCGCGCTGCACTTCACGACACAACAGTTTGTCTGCCCTGTTCACTAAAAGTGGAGCGGCGTATCTGGACGCAGTGGGAGATCGTGCAACTGCGGTGGCAGCGCTCCGGCATATTGAAGGGCTGCAACAAGTCTCGTTTGGTTATCTTCGTCGCAAGGCAGTACGTTGCTCACTTGTTTCAGGTTCGGGGTTTTCATTTCATCCGGTTGCCATAGGTCACCCAAGCCTTGAGTGGCACGGGGAGTGTTCCACGCTCGACCTACGGTCAGCCTGGAATTCTGTGGATAATTTACTATGTTTATGTCTACGACAATTTTCGGGATAATATGTTGAAGACATGATTTCTCTGCTGGGCCCCGAAACCTTATGGAGTTTAGAGTTGGCTATGTAGTTGAATTTGGAATTGTTTTGTTGTTAGACTAAGTGTTGTTTTTCTTAATTGATATCGTGTAGATTTTTCGAAGTCTGTTTGGCTTTTACATGTTTAGGCGCAGTCATTCATATCCTTCTTCGGCATGGGAATTTTCTTGGTCTCCCCATATGAGGCTGCTTTTTACTAGTATGGAATTAGGATGGGTTGGTGTTTGTACGGTGGCTTATGATTGGAAATGAAGGCAATCTGGTGATAGTACTATGATACCCGTGGATTTGCTAGTAGCGGCGCCACCTTGAGCAGTGAGAGTGTAAGAAGGGGCGGTGGGAACGCTACTGGTTAGGAGGCACAAGAGAACCGGTGAAGAGCAAACTGGAGTTGTACCCATTGTGTCCGCTAAACCACGAAGGACCAAGGGTGCGTGGTGGGAAACCCTTCATGGCAGCTCAGGCTCTTTGCGGGGTGTTCGAACAGAGTGGGTGAAAGGGTAGCTCGATACAGCAGCTAATGAGTGTGAGAACAAAGTAATCGGTACTATAGTCAGGGAGAAACCCAGGGAATTACTAATAGCGGCGCCATCTTGAGCAGTATGAGCCTATGAGGGTATCAAGAGGCGGTGGGAACGCTATTGGTTAGGTGCGACGAGAGAACCGGTGAGGAGCAAACTTAATCTGTACCAATTGTGTCCGCTAAAACTACGAAGGTCCAAGGGTGCGTGGTGGGAAACCCGTCGTGGTAGATCAGGCTCCTTGCAGGGTAGTGGAGTCGGGAGGGTAGCAGGGTCGCCCCTGCAGGTGTGATCAATTAACTGCTGTATGATTGTTTTCTATTTTTTGGGAGACAATACCACCACGTTCAGTTTGAAGTTGGTACGAGTTTGGGTTGAAATTTGGGATTATTTGGGATTATTTGGGATTATTTAGTCTGCTTTTGGAATAATTCAAGGGTTAAAATTACGTGGTTGCTCTAAGATCCGAACACTATGGAATTTAGAGTTGTCTACGTAGTAATTTTTGAACTGCTATGTTCTTACTGTCGTTTTCTGTATTTGAATAGTGTAGGAAGATATCGTAG